TTCCTTCTCTTGCCCTGTACCCCTTATGTGCACTTGAAATCTCACCCAGGACCCGCCTCCCTCCAGAAAGCACCCCTGAGCTCTTCAGCCCACGCCTGACCTTGCAGAAGAGGATGCAGCCTCTGGGCCCACGCAACCACGCATGCAGGTCCAGACACGTGGACTCCTGCTTCTCCCCAGCTCAGGACCGTGGCTCGCTCTCCTCCCATCTCCTTGAGCGCCCAGCACTCAGGGCCCTTGGGTGAGCCACGTGCTAGCCTTCCAGCTGAATGATCAACTGCACAGAGGCAAGATCTTTTGCTCTGTGCCCTACAGTCTGCACACAGCTTGGCAGATTTGAAAACTCAGCCAGTCTTCATGAGTGATGGATTAAAATGCCAGCCTCTCGCCTGCCTGAGCCAGCCAGCCCGAGATCCGCACTGGACTCTGGCTTGAGACTGGCAGGCATCTCAGCAGGTTGCTGACCTGCTCTTGCCCTGCAGACGGGGAGAGAGGCGGTGCAGGAGGCTGGGTTCCCTGGAAGATTCTTATGTCCTACAAACTACAGGACAGCAAATTTTAATAAAGCCCAAATGACATATTACTGAAGTCTGCTCATTTCACCCTGCGCTGACTCCACCCCTTCCGAACACTGTATGACTGATCAGGTCCCCAAGCCTGGGGCGCCTAAATGAGAATGAGGAACAGCATGGAGGGCGTCTGTACCACGCCCAGAGCAGTGCACCACATGGATTGTAAGCACAAGTTCCGCCCACTGCCACACCCCTCCTAGAGCTCAGACAGCAGTAGCAACTTGGGGGTGGGGCTGGAGTTCATGTGTAAGATGCCCTCAGGGATGGACCCTCAGGGATGGACTCAGACACTGTCCTCTCTGTGGAGTGGAGCTCTGCTCCCGCCTCTGGGCTCCCAGCCGCTCTTGTTTCTATCATGGGCTGGGTTAAAGCTGTCACTGGTGAGAGGTCCACCTCACAGGATCCGATGAGTGAGGCTGGGTCATTACAGGGTGAGACCTCCCCTCGTGTCTTCACACAAGCCCATCTGCCCCTTCGCCTTCTGCCATGTGAGGAGGCAGCATGTGGGCCTTGTAGAGGCAGCGTTCGATCCCAGACTTGCCAGAACCTACTGCCGTGAGCCAAAATAGCTCCCTTTGTGCCAGGCATGGTAGTGCAGGACTGTAATCCCTGCCCTTGGAAGGCTAAGACAGGAGGACTGCAGAGTTCAAGGCCAGCCAGAACTGCACAGTGAGACTCTGCTTCAAAAATAAAGTCTCTCAGTCTCAGTGTCTGTCTCTTCTCTGTCTCTCTCTGAATTTAGGGCCTTGCGCTTGCCAGAAGACACTTTCACTGCTGAGCTATCTCCTTGGTCCTTAAAAGCCTCTTTATTAATTACTTCCTCCTAGATACGATTTAGCAACAGGAAATGAACTAAGAGTGGAGTACAGAGAAATAAGGACACTAATCAAAATAAGCGGCAGAGTCTTGAGCATCGAGTCTGACCACGAGAACGCTTCCTGTCTCAGGACCCTCGTACTCCAGGGAGGCTTGCTGGATGCTATTATTTGGCGATGCATGAATGTGGCTCTCATATGCAACGAACGGAACAGTTTTCCAACCTGTTGCAAGCGGCAGGCTCTGTGCGGCCTGTTGCTCTCTCTGCTCTCAGGACCACCAGGTGGGGTCCAGAGCAGCCCCAGCTATGAACACGGGCCTCAGGCTGCCCCCTCCAGGACCTTAACATCAGCCTTGTCTAAATACACCATCCCGTGAAAAGGCTGGGGACAGAGCTGCCATTTGGCATGACGACACTTTTTGGAAATAAATATGGATGACTGTTTCACAATGTTGTGGATATACTTAAGATTACTAGATTGCGCACTTAACAGTTAAAATGGTAAGTTTCATGTTATGCATATTTTACCAAAATTTTAAAAATTGAGGAAAAGATTGGAAAGCAAAGGTTCCCATGGGGATCAGGAGAGCGAGAGGAGCCACTGGGAGGGGGCGCTCAGGGAGGGGGGCAGACAACAGGGTTGCGCAGCAGCAACATGTGAGGACATGGTGGGCTGGGAGCTCCCCTCCCTCCCCTCTCGTGCCTTCCACAAACCCACTCCATCTCTGGTCAGCACCCCCTTCTCCCCCCAAGAGAAAACTCCAGCTCTTTCAAGCCGGGAGTCCTCAGAATGCCACAAGCACTGACCTTCTCTACTTCGGTGGACACGGACATTTCATCTCAGGGGACCGCAGTGCCTTATTTCAAGTGGCACGTTCTAAATCTCTGTTCCACTGCGCAGCGGGACTAGTACAGACTGGGCACCTACTAGCTACCCTGTCTATACCCACGAGCTAGAGTAAAACCTTTTGTTTTTGGAAGAAGATTAGAGGAAAGCAAATGAACTTCAGCTAGTTAAGCAAAGATTTCTGTATATAGAAACAGCAAACCACTTTACTTCTGAGCATTGTCACTCTACAGGATATGTTTCTAAAGAAGTTTGAGGCTTCGCTAGGACAGCCGGGCCTGGCATTTTTGCTTTCGATCACCATCACCCTTGACAGCAAACAGCAAGTGACTCTACTCTTTGCAAACAAGCTCAAAAGACAAAGCCAAGCCTCGTAGAGAATCTCAGAGAACGTCGAACTCCGGAAACACCTGGCACGTGTTAGGTCTCACTAAATATGCTGCACGATTTAAAAGCTGTTCTGACAGAAGAATCCCAGAATGTTTGGGAGACGGGGAAACATTGTTATAATGAACGTAAACATGGTTTTCTTGTGTTTGGATTCAAAAGTCTACACAATTACATTTCAGCAGGAATCCCGGGATCAGAGCTTCAGACAGAGAAGCTATCCTGGGCTGAAAAGAACGGGCAGTGGTGCCTCAGAACGCCGGGTCCAACAGGCCAGACGCCGGACGTCAAATCTTCCCATTGTATACAAGAGGAGATGGAAGTCCAGATTTACGTGTGAAATTTCAAGGTATTTAAAATAGTGCCAAGGTAAAGGGGCAAATAAACTAGCTCATGTTCACTGGGCTCATTAACATGAACCTGCAGCTGCCCACTCATTCTCAGCCATGAAATTCACTCACCCGCATCCACCGGCCCCTGGCACTACGGGGAAAGGGGCTTCTGAGACAATGTCCCTTCCTTACCTGTGTCCAGGTCTCATACTCTTCTCTCCACTCTGGGACTTCACTCTTTCAATCTGACTTCACTCCAGTGTCCCTGACACTGCTGTCACTGATGATAAATAAATGCCCCTGCAAGGGGCTTGGACTTTGAGCCTTCCACAGCCTTTAGCAGCTCCCTCCCTCTTCAAGCTCTGTTCTTGCCTTGGCTCCCTGGTTGCCACTTCGTGGAGTCTTCTCTCCACTCCACCCACCCCACTCATATTCTCCTAAAGTTCTGGGGGCTTCTGCCAATGAGCCCATGGCTTTCAGATCCGCCTAGCTCCCTGAGTTCTGCACCTGCACAGCCTGCTTCTGATGGGTCCCATGCTGGCCACTAACTTCAGCACCAAACTACTTTCCTGTGAAATCTTCTCAGGGGAAGGCCACTGTCATCTAGTTCCTGAAGCAGAAATCCTGGACTCCCCCAAATCCCCTGCTCCCTCTCAGCAGCTCTACCAGCCTAGTAAGCACCTCTTGAACACACCACTTCTCCTCCTCCAGCCCACGGTCACAGCCATCTCACACATTGGTGACAGTAGAAGCCTCCAGTCTTGCCTTCAGCCGTATCTAAAATGTGATGGTAAGGTGGCCAGGTTCCTGCCCTGCCTAAACCCTGTCCTCCCTCAGATACAGTTCAAACCCTTTAACAGCAGCCTGTCAGGCCCTCGAGTCACTTTTCCAGCCTCTTGTCCCTCACTGGGGGCTCGAGCCCCATGAGAGCAGACACTCCTCTTGGGTCTGTGCACCCCTCCAGCTTATGCCTACCACATCCCACGTGCCCCGGCCCCTCCTACAGCTTCCCTGGACGTGTCCCCATCCTGCCACCCTCCCTAGACCTCTCCTAGATGACGGGATGCCTTACTGCACTCCCAAGGCTGCAGACAGCTCTCCACTGGCCCCTCTTGTGCCATGGGCTCTGCGGGGGCAGGGACCTTGCTATCTCACCAGCTGTCCCAGTGCCCGGCACCCAATAAACACTCACTAGGGTTATTTTCTGTGCTAATGATGCAGATTTCAAAAGGCTTTGACTCATTTTGAAAGCCACTCTCTTAGTGAAAAGGCCCAGGCCCAGGCCAACCAATGCTGTCGCTCCAAATCCCCCAAGCTGCTCTCTAAAAACCCAGGAGTCCCCCATCACCGTGCCAGCCAGCCCTGGTTCGCACAGCCCATCAGACAGGTGCAGCTGCAGGGACCACAGGGCCACACATCTTCTAGTGGGAGTGCAGGTATTCGTCACACCCAAGGCAGGTGAGGCTTGGCAATTGAAGCCCCCTTGGGAGAGCAGCACACAGGCCAAAGGACAGAGCCCCAGAGCCTAGGGTGGCACACTGTCTCTTTGGGATTGGCCAAAGGCAGCACCTCTGCCTAGTAGTAGGATCTCTGGCTCTAGTTGGCAGCACCTGGCATAAGGGGAACTGTATGCTAACCTCCTTTCCGTGTCAATTTTCTGAATGAGGGTAGTGGCTTGGCAATTAAGCATATTACATTTTGATTCAAAGCAGCCAGTGAGTAGCAGGCCACCCCATTTAACTTGCCCAGGAGAGAGGGAAGGCAGTACTTCCTGTGGATGGAGGCGGAACAGTGGGTTGAAAAGTCAGCCCTTCCACTTCCTCCCTCCCTTAACTACCCCAGGACCTGGGATTTGAACTTTAATGACACTGAGAACACTGATAACCTTTCTTTTCCTCCTGCTACAAGTTCTCAGCCCATCTGCCTAGGCCACACTCTGTCCATGGGGCTAGTGCAAGAGTTCTTTCTCCACGCCTACTTCCAAATCGGGGCTGGGGATGCCTTGTGGGCCCGGCTCAGACCAGGGGTACGGACAATGGTCGCAGGAGTCCAGGCCATAGCGCTGACTGGCCATGAGGTATCAGGGCCTCAAGGTTCTTGAAGCTGCGTAATAGAAGGATCCTGGTGAGCAAAGGCTCAGAAGAGTGGGGCCGGCGCCACCTCGGTGGGAGCAGGCCAGGCTGGAGCTGCCAGGTCCCCCTCTGAGGGTGGCAGAGTAGCTTCGCCGTGAATGCGCTGGTGCCGCACCAAGTGGGTCTTGCGGCTGAAGCTCTTGCCACATTGCGAGCAGGAGAATGGGCGGGAGCCCGTGTGGATAGCCTGGTGGCGGACCAGGTTGGTCTTGGAGCTGAAGCTGCGGGCGCAGATGGAGCAAGAGTGGGGGCGACTGCCTGTGTGCACCGCCTGATGGCGGCCCAGGTGCGACTTGCGGCTGAAGCGGCGGCCGCACTGGGCGCAGGCAAAAGGCCTGGCACCACTGTGAGCCCTGGAGTGAGCGACCAGATTGGGCCGCGAGCCAAAGCGACGGCCGCACTGCGCACAGGCAAAGGGCCGTTCGCCCGTGTGCACGCGCCGATGCCGCGCCAGATGCTGCCCGTGGGCGAAGCCACGCCCACAGTCCGGGCAGAAGAAAGCGCGCTCGCCGGGGCCGCTATGCGGGGGCGCCTCAGGGCCTGGGCCTGGGCTGCAGCCTGGGCCGCCAGGCTCGCAGGGCAACGGCTCGGTGGTGGTGGGATCCGCGGTGGCACCCAGGGCACACTCATCGCACCCAAAAGGGTGAGCCTCGCTGCGGTGCTGACGCTGGTTCGTCGTGAGGTTCTTTTTCCAGCCAAAACTCAAGCCACAATCTGAGCAGGCCAACGGCTTGGGCCCAGGCGGAGACGGTGTAGGGGATGCAGAGGGAGAATGCAGCGAGGTGGGCGCTTCGGGGCAGGGCCGGGCCCTGCCGGCAGCGTCATGCACCCTCTGATGGCGAACCAGGTGCTGTTTGTGTGTGAAGCTGCGTGCACACTGTGAGCACTGGTACGGCCGCTCTCCGGTGTGGATGCGCTGGTGCCGGATTAAGTGCGTCTTCTTGCGGAAGCGCTTCTCGCACTCGGTGCAGGGGAAGGGGCGCTCACCGGTGTGGGTCTTCTGGTGCGAGCCCAGGTGTATCTTCTGGCTGAAGCGCTTGCCGCACTCCGCGCACGGGTAGGGCCGCTCGCCCGTGTGCGTGCGCAGATGGCGCGTCAGGTGTGCCTTCTTGCTGAAGCGCTTGTCGCACTCGGAGCAAGGGAAGGGCCGCTCGCCGCGGTGGCTGCGCTGGTGCAGCAGCATGTGCGTGCGCTGCGTGAAGCTGCGGCCGCAGTCCGGGCAGGCACATGGGCCCTCACCGCGGTGCAGCCTCTGGTGCAGCCGCAGCGTCAGCTGGTCCCGGAAGCGCCGCTCGCACTCTCCGCATCCAAAGGGCTTCTCAGGGACCCACCCCGGCAGCGGCAGCGCCAGCCCACCCAATGTCCCAGGGGCCCCGGGCTCCAGTTTATAGGAAGCTGCCAGGTGCCCCAGGTCGGGCGCAGGAAAGGGACTGGGAAGTAAGGATAGATGCTGGGGCCATTCGACCTCCTCTCCTGCTTCCTGATCCTCATCCTCCACCTTCACCTTCCGAATCATCCATTCCTCACCTGAAGAGACAAAACAAGAAGCATCTATTAAGCCCAAACCGCCATGGTTTTTTGTTGTTGTTTTTGGCCAACAGGACCACTGCTTCCATTTCCTGAGCCCTGCAGCCTGACTCCCACCCCGCATCCCCCAACTGCGCATTGCAGGACTTGACCAAATCTAAGGCTTGCATGGATCCTCCTGGGCCTGTCTCCCAGAAGCCCTCCCTGCACGCTCTGTAGTCAAGGCTTCCCTCTCCTGATGCCTGTTAAGTCCCCTGGCTCTGCAGCCTTCGTCCTACTCCCAACAGGATTTAGAAACTGCCCCTTCACTGCTTCTGCTGTGCTCCATCCCTCTGTGGCCAGAGTTCAGGGTCGGTCCTGTACCCCATTTCCTAGGAAGCTTTCACTAAAGATATCTATTATGGCACTTGTATGCTCTTATTTTGCACTGAGGGTTAAACTTAGGGCCTTGAACATGCTGGGGAAACATGTTACAACTGAGCTACATCCCAGCAGGTCTCACTACATTGCCCAGGCTGGTCTTGAACTTGCCATCTTCTTGTCTCAGCCTCCCAGAATGCTGGGATAACAGGCACACACCACCACGCCTGGTCCTGTTCTCTTTCTCTAAGGCTCCCAGAGTAAGGCTTGAGAAACACTGAAGCGGACAACCTGAGTTCTGTTTGGCCCTAAAAGGCTATCACAGGCTGAGCTTCGATTACATTACACATAGATTGCTATGGCTTCATCTGAGTTTCTTCTACCAATCCACTTGACTCCAAACAAGTTCGTCATACTGTGATGTCGCTTGCATTTTCAATGTGCCTCTCCTCTCAAGAACCATCAAAAGCTCCCACCACAGGACAAAGCAAGTTCCAGCTGCATGAGGCCCACCCAAACCTACCCAACTTTCTTTCTCCAGAGGTGACCGTTCCCTTCCATGCTGTTCCCTCAACCCCAGCCATGTGCCTGGCACTTTTTCTGTTTCAAAATCCTTGTAACCTAGAACGCCTTTCCATCCTACATCCACCCCACTATGGGGCTGCAGTCTGCACCTCTATCAGGGCGCAGCACAAAGCAGTGTTTCTCACAAATCTGATACACACACATCTCTTACCATAAAGCTGTAGCACTTCCTGTGAACACTTTCACACCTATTTCATATAGTTCTCAGTTCTTTGCCCTTGTTTGTATTAATCCACCTAGATTGTAGCTTCTAGAGGGCAGATACCTATGTTCTGATTTTATGTCTAACAAATGTGTCTGTGTCCAATAAAAAATAAAAATGGGGATCATCACTATTTATCAAAGACCAATGTCTAGGACTGGGGAGATAGCTCAGTAGAATAAGCACTTTCCTCTTTCCTGGCAAGCGCAAGGTCCTGAGTTCAATCCTCAGTACTGCACATACACACACAGAAAAAGCCAATGTCTGTCAATGGTCATAAGCCTTCACAACAACTATGAAAATACTATCATCCAGGTTCACAGGGAAGACAGAGCATCTCCTGGCAAGGAGCCAGCCTATCAGAGCCACAGGTACTCTAAACATAGAGCTAGTGTTCAGATCTAGGGCCAATCTGGTTTCACTACGCCCAATATAGCTCGTACACAGTCATCACTAAGTGAGTTGTGTTGGGGGAGCGATATCACTCAGGCAAGAGGCGATTTGGATGGCGGTAGTGGAAGGAAGTGAGGATGGGGCTGAGAAGTGATGGCCCTTCATTTGGAAGATATGGGTGACTACACGGTTCTGCTGGAATCAGGAGAGATTTTCAGGACAGGGAGAGACAGTACAAAGGTTGATCTACATCCTTTATCTTTGGGCCAATGTGATTTGGGTGGGCCGCGCCAAGCATTTAGGTTGGGGGCATGAGGAGGCAAGTTAGGCCCTCGAGAGCAGGGTATGAGGCAGGCTGCTTTCGCTCTGGGGAGTGGCTCTCCAGTTCTGCTGCCTACAAATGGGAACTTGCTTTGGGCACTGAAGAAGAGCTGGCCTGTAGGGCCCAGATTGGCTGTCTTTGGGGGAAGGGGCAGACTTGCTTCATCAGACAGCAGCTCTGGGGCCTGCAGAGCCCTGTTGCCCTTGCCTGACACCAGAGTGGATGCAGCAGCAAGCACTCACCAGAGCAGGAGCCCATGGGCTCAGCCTTCTGTGGGGTGCACATCTGGCCTCCTCTGCAGGGAGCCTCGGCTTGTTCAGTCTGGGCACCTTCCTCTGTGCCAGGGACCTCGTGTCCTGGGAGGGAAGAGGGACCTCAAGGGCTCTGAAAGCATCACAGGCAGATGAAGGTCCCTGCTGGTGCTGGGAAGCAGGAGCACCATAAGCACCACTCCTAGCCCACCCACAGGACTTGTTCCCACCTCATACCTGCAGGTTGAGTGCCCAGATACCCTGGGGAAAGCTGGGAAAGGCTCTGCCCCCCTCCCCCAGGGCAAGGGTGCTTTTCTATGGGTGTGCCCCCCGTTGGAGAAGCCTCAACTGAGAGGCACTTCTGAGGTAGCTGCCTACCTGAGGCTAATCTGTGCTTCCCAGGAGCCAGGTGGACCCCTCATCCCCTAAATGGACTCCAGTTGCAAGGCAAATCATTGCTCAGGATCCCATGCTTTTGCCTTAGGCACCCAGTCTTAAGCAGTCCCTCTCAAAAGTCCCTCTCTGGAAGTCCCCCTAGCTATCTTGCTCACCTCTTCCAAATCTTCCCCATCCAGCCTGCTCTGAGCACACTAATGAACCCTATGATGCATCTCCCCCAACCTGCAACCTCTTGCTGTGCTTTGTCCCCCGTCCCCAATTTGTGGAACACTAACTTCTAATTTTTACGTTTATTGTTGGTTGATTCTGTACACTCTAGGATTAAGTCCCTTGAAGGTAGAGATCTCTGGTCACCAAGATATTCCAAGTGTCTAGCACCTGGCACATACTAGGTGATCAATAACTACTCGGTGAAAGAAAGGAATAAATACCCAAAGGGTTACTCCCTGTGGCGCCCTGCTTGGTCCCCTTGGGCTTACCTGAGCACGTGCTCAATGTTCTCTCTTCCCTGGCAGAGGACATCTGCCCTGGGGCATTAGGAGACCCATCCCTGGGCTCACTTTGGGGGGCCATCTCTGGCTGTCCCACAGAGAATCCTGTCATAGGCAGAAAGGGGTCCAAGTAAAGCATGCCGCCCAGAACTGGTGATCAGAGGTGGGGAACTAGTGATCACCTCTGGTAATCAGAGGTGCTTGCAAAGTACACAGCATGCTATCAGCACAGACCTGTAGCCTGTTTGGCACCAACTCAGCCCCTTGGAGTTAAGGATGGGAGGAAGAAGCAATAGACTAAGGGAAACACATTTAAATCCCAGGGTTCTCTGCGTGGTCATGGTTACATAGACAGACACAACTCCCATGTTCCAGGCACTCCAACCCCCCAGGACCCAGAAGGATGCTGCCCTACATATGCCAAGGCCCCTCCAAGCTGCAGGGACTGACTCACCCAGGGAGCTGAGCGCCTCCAGGGTCTCTCTCATGGCAACAGGGAGTAGTAGCCCCTCTTTGGGGATCAGGCCACAGACCCTATGGAGAGGAGGCAGCTTGTTCACGTTCTTCCTGTCAGCTCCACCCTGGACCCCTGCCCTATGATGGGTTCCCAGGTACAAGGGCGGGCCGGGTCCTTGGAAAGTTAAGGCCTTGAGAAGCCACATCTTCAAGCACCTCACAGGTCTCCCAGAGCCAGCCCTAGCCCATCAGCAGCACCATCCCAGGGGCACCCCAGTGTCCTTGCCTGGGGAAATGCAGGAACCATGTGATTCCCTGGGGAGGGGAGGGGAGGGTGGGATATCGGGTAGATAGGGGGTGGGAAACTTCATCCCGCGGGTCCTTCAGCTCTCACTGCAGGAGCTGGTGAAATAGAAGCCAACCAGGGTGAAGGTGAATGTCTCTTTAGGGCTGGGGGTGCTCTAGAGAAGCCTCCTTGTTAAAAGTGGGACATGGCTCTAGCTTCTGCCTCCTAACCCCCTACCTCAAAACCACCCCCTATGAGACTTCCTGGGCTGGGGCACCCACCCAGGCTGTGTCGCCCTACCCACCTCACACCCACCGCCCACCTCGGTCTCCTGTCTCCTCCCTAGCTCTTATGCAGGATCCCTGCCCTTCCCCCAGCAGGCTCCCCTCCCCCTCTTGCAGGCTGGCTTCCTTCTGCCCCTCCCCGCTCCCTCCCCCTCTGCCTTCCGCCCTCTCTCCCCACTGAATCCGGCGTCTGCCCGGAGCTCCTCCCCTTGCCCCGCCCCTACGGGTCGGCCTCCATGCTGCTGCCCCCCATTCTGCACCCGGCAGGCGGTCCCGGCTGTGCTCCGTGCTCCCCTCCCCCTGCCGGCGCCCTTCCCCGCCCGAGGCTCTCCCCGCCACCCTCTCCCCAGCTGCACTCTCTCCCTTCCTTCCCCTCCTCTTTTCCTTCCTCCCTGACACACGCCCTCCCCTCCCAGCAAGTCTCCCCTCCTCCTCTCTCCTCCCCCACTTGGGTTTCCCTTCTCTTCTACCTCCCTCCTCCCCCGCTTCCCCTCCCCTCCCTCGCTTCCCCTCCTTGTCCTTTCCCCTCCCGTCCCCTCCCCTTCCTTTCTTCCCCTCCCCCTCCCTTCTCCCACTCCGGTTTCCCTTCCTTCTCCTCTCCTCCCCCTCTGCCCACTGCGTCCTCCTTCCCCCCTCGCGGCTCTCCTTCTTCTTCACAGCCGCCCCTTCCAGCTTCACTCACCGCCCCCCACCCATCCCTAGAACCGCTCTTCCCCTCCCCTTCCAGCCTGCTCCCTCGGTCCCCAAGCCTGTGGCCCTCAGTGACCTCGCGCGGCCCTCGCCCTCGCAGCCCCGCCGCCCTTCGGAGCCCCTCTCTGCCCGGCACACCCCCCTCTCCGGGCCCCGGGCCCCGGGCCCATTTCTGCTCCCTGAGGACTTCTTACCCCCTCCCAAGTTTTCCTCCAAACCCGACCCTACCGCGCCTGCACCCCAAGCGGGTCCTCCAGAGTCACTCCGGTTCCGGTCACCTGTCGGCGCCCGCCCCTCCAGAGAGGCCCGACCCCGCGCCCCGCTTTTCCGCCTTCCTTCCCTTTTGCACCCCTTCTCCACTTCGGACCTCCGGGTCCCTCCCTTCTTGGGCTCCCTGGCCCTTCGCCCTGCCCCGCGACCCTCCCCCGCGCGCCTCGACCTCCCACCCCTCACCACCCCCCCGTCCCTTTCCCTGGTCTGTCACCTGCGCGCCGGCCGGGCGCCCGAGGGGGGCAGCGAAGCCTCGGCCCGCACCTGCCCCGCACCTGGCCCCTACCTGGCAGGTCCCCGGCAGCTGCCCGCGGGGACCCAGGCACCCGCGGCTCCGCGCACAATGGCGCCTGCCGCCTGCTGCCCGGTGCGGACGGCCCGAGACCGACGGACTGACAGCCCGAAACTTCGCGGGGAGGAGGGCACGCGGGGGGCGGAGAGGGGCCGGGCGGCGGCGCCCGAGGAGGCGGGGACCAAGGGAGCCGAGCTGGGCGCCCACTCGGAAGTGGGAGACAGAGCCTTCAAGGGTGAGGGTCCCGGGAGGGCGCTCGGGCGCTAGGTATGCAGGTGGTGGTCGGGAGGCGCAAGGCCCGGGTAGGGAGGCGACGGGAAGAAGGGGGGGGAGGGTGCTGGAGGGAGGAGCTGGGAAAGGTGGAGCGCGCAGGGAGAGAGAGAGAGAGAGAGAGAGAGAGAGAGAGAGAGAGAGAGAGTGTGTGTGTGTGTGTGTGTGTGTGTGGTTGGGGGACGTTGGTGGGGAGGGGCGCGCGTGGAGAGGGGATTTGGGCGTGCGCGCTGCCGTCTACAGCGCAGCCGGTGGCGGTGGGTCGGCGGTCGTGTGGGAGACTGTGACCTCGCTGTCCACTCGGATCCCACCCGGAACCTGCTCGATCCACCGAGATCCCATACGAGACCCGCGAAGGGAGCCCTGGGAGGTGGAAGGAGAGGAGCGAGCTGGGCCCTTGGGGTAGAAATTGAGTAGCCACAAGCGTGGGGCTGGGTCCCCCCTGGGAGAGGAGAAGGCAGGGCTGACCTCGAGGCAGGGAGCGGGTGAGAGGTCGACACTCTGAGGGCGGGGCGCGGGGTGGGGAGGGGGCGCCACCTGGGGGCTTGGGCGCGGAGTTCTGCTAGGTTCTCAGCCCTCAGTCTGGCTCTTCTTGACCTAGTCCACAGACAGCCTCAGCCCTTTCTCTTTGGCGTTGTCCCCACCCCCACCCCAACCCCACTCTTGAAACGCCCCAGACCTGTCTCGCTCAGTTTAAACCCTGGCGAGTTCTGCTGGGCCACCTCCCCAAGATATTTCTGCAAACTCCTCTGGGCGCCTACTTCCTCCTGCCCACCCCTGGAGGGGAAAGGGCGGCTGCGATTTGCCTTCCTTCCCAGTCTGAGAGAAGCTCGCTGCCCAGAGCTGGGAGACGAAGGGAAGGCAGGGAATGACTGCACCTGTGGACTGACCCAGCGTTGGCTAAGCACTCATCACTACCATGGAGACAACTGTGCAGTGTGGACGCAGCGACCCAGAGCTGGCCTCAAAGACACAAGGGAGCTCTGGCACACTAGATGGTCTCTCAGCCTTTGTGGGTGGCTAGAGTAAGAAGTGTTATGACTGGGTGACCTGGAGAAGCTCGGGGGCCTAGAGAAGCAGGTGTGTGTGTGTGTGTGTGTGTGTGTGTGTGTGTCCCTTCAGGCTCAGCTGTGTAAGCTCTTACAAGTCCCTTGCTCAGGAGACTGCAGGTGCCCCTGGGCAGAGTGTGTCTCCCCCCTGTATGCGCTGGGCCAGACTTTGTCACTTGGGACCCAGGTCTCCTGCGTGAGGGACTCTGAAGGAGGGCATGTCCAAGGGTGAGTGTGGGATGAGGCTGGCAGAGCAGAGACTAGGACAGACCTTGGCCCTTTCCTGGGACCCTTGTTTGGGCCCGGCCCTGTGGTGGGCCCAGAAGAGGGGACGGTAGACCAGCTCTGACTGCCCAGATTGGATGACTTCACGGCATGCTTTGTGGGACACCAGGCTTAGGAGGTGGCGGGGTCCGAGTTTGACACGCAGGCCACATTCCAGCCTGCTGTGCTCGGAGCTCTGCTGGTAACCAGGATGTGACCAGGATTCTGCAGTGGAGCTTGCCATTGCCCCCTCTCAGCCGGACACTGGGATTATTCCATCCGGCTCAGCTGGGGGGGAGGGGAGGTTTCCCATGCCACCTTCATGCTGTCCTTTTGACCCTTAGCCCTGATGCCCTGATTCAGAACACCAGGGATCCTCCAAAGCTCTCACAGGGACCAGCCAGCCACACACGATCACCCTTCCTAAGCTGTCAGGTCCCACAGAGGTGGAGGCACACACTGTCCTCTTGTCCTTCAGATCTCCTGGACCTCAGTTTCTGAGTTCATGGCCTGGTGGGAGAGGGGACAGGGGAGACAGGACAAGAACAGGGAGAACGCCGTAAAAAAGTCATTTTCATCCATTTTAGCCCAGTAACTTTTAATGTTTTGGTGGGGCTGCCTTTGAGAATCTAATAAAATTTTGAAACTGTCTTCTGAAAAATACATGCACACAACATTTCTAAGAACTCATGGAGTCCCTGAGTCCCATCTGTGTTCCTGGGAAGTCCCTGAGGTTTCTACTGGTCAGAAGAGGCCCAGAAAGGGAGGTGCCCTGCCCAGAGGCCCACATTAATTTGCAGTGCACCTGCATGTGTGGGAACTCCAGAGGTTCGCAGTGCCTGGCTGGTTCCCCAGTGAATCGCAGACACACACACACACACACACACACACACACACACACGAGCAGGGGCAGAAGGGGCCGTTTCCAGCTGGCCTCTGAGGGGAGGGTGCCAGCAGGTCCAATCCAGTTCTGAGCAGCTGTGGCCCTTGGGCGTGAGGGCAGGCTAAAGCGTCCCCACTACCAGGGCCCAGCCTTGGACAGGCTGGCATCCTCTCTGCTTCACTGTGGCAGCGCTGCCCAAGCCCAAGCCTCAGGTCCCCTGAGGGTAGCCTGGGATTCGGTCACATGTTGCTTCTCGTCCTCTTTGGGATGCTGTGGGCGCTGGTTACTGGGTAAGCAGCCCACCGGGACCCTTCCAGTTAACATCCTCCGGCTGACACCCGGGACCCTGTGTGGCACCAGACTTGCCTTCCTGGGCTTCTCTTCCCAACTGTAGCCGCCTGTTTCAGGGACCTCCCTGGGGAATGAGCTCTTAGGGGTAAAGTGGGGGTCACAGACGGCTTCCTGAGGACAGAGGAGGTGTGGTAGTAGCTGTAGCCTTCTATCCTGGACAGGCGGTGGTGTGAGTGGACAGAGACCGTCCACACAAAGGAGGAAGTAGCCCCCCGTCGGGAGGACCTGGTGCTCTGCACCAGCCTCTACCATTATAGCCGCCTAGGCTGGCGTCTGGACCTGCCCAGGAGCGGCCGTGCAGGGCTCACCGGGTCCCCAGCGCCTGGGCTCTGTGCCATCTACAAGTGAGTGAGGGTCAGAGCCCTCACAGGGATGTCCGTGGGGCAGGGAAGGGGTGCTGAGCGGACGTCCTGTGATGGTGGAGGATGTGGCACAAGCAGGAGTTTGGGAAGTGGGGCCTGGTAGACTTGGTGAAGGGCCGAGAGTATGAGATCAGGGTGGTGACTGAGGGCACCACAGTGGGCAGAACAGGAAAAGGTTCAGTGCCTCTCACTTTGCACTGGGGAAAGTTACAGGCAGGAGGAAATAAATCGCACAATCCCCCAATCCACTCTCAGAGAGTAGTTGACCAGACCAAGTGGCACAGGCCTTTCCCTGCGATGGCCCTGGGCTGAACACAAACATCTCTCCCCGCTTCCTCCTGCTCGGTGCGTGCAGACCCCCTGAAATCCATTCTGTCACCCAGAACCGGACGGTGAGGGCTTGCTGCCCAGGCTGGGGGGGCACACAGTGCACTGATGGTAAGCATAGGCATTGCGGGGCGTCCCTGCTGGGATCCTAGGCAAACCTGAATCTGTGGTTCAAACCCCCATCTGTGATCCAGGGGAGGCAGTCAGGCTGAGAACCCTAGGTTGTCCCTAGGCTGACCCCTGGGCCTGCCTCATTCTCTCCACCCACCACAGCTCTGGCTGAAGCCAGCCCTGATGGCCGCTGCTTTGCCACATGGCAGTGCGAGCCTCTGGCAGGCTCAGCTAATGCTTCAGCAGGAAGCTTAGAAGAGTGCTGCGCCCGGCCCTGGGGACACAGCTGGCGGGATGGCAGCTCACAGGTCTGCCTCCTTTGCCACAGCAAACACCTCCCAGGTAGGTCTGCAGGCCCCAGCTCTGGAAGAGCATATTCTAGCCGTCATCCTGCACCTCCCTAGCCTTGATCGCTGGGCATTTCTGGGGGTCCTGCCTGCTTCCCTGACCACCACTGCAATCCATGCCCTGTCCACAGGCCTCCCACTGTGCCCTAGCTCAGCCCTCCCCCTGGGCTCAGAGCCTCACTCTGATGTGATGTGTCTTGCCCAGGGGATGCTTCCTCTGCAACTCTCCTGCAGCCGCTTGCAGGGGCTGTGGGCCAGGTCTGGAGCCAGCAGCAGCGGCCCTCAGCCACCTGTGCCACCTGGTCAGGCTTCCACTACCGCACCTTCGACGGGCGTCACTACCACTTCCTGGGCCGCTGCACCTACCTTCTGGCGGGTGCTGTTGACTCCACCTGGGCTGTCCACCTGAGGCCTGGAGGCCACTGCTCCCAGCCTGGGCACTGCCAGCTGGTGAGGCGGGTGGCCCCAGGGAGTGGACTGGACTCAGGCAAGGAGGGTCCTTGACCCATTTCACTGTGGACCTCCCTAGGTCCGGGTGATGATGGGCTCCGAGGACGTGCTGATCCAGGATGGTGCTGTCTCTGTGCAGGGGAGGCTAGTGCCCGAGGGGGAGTCGCAGCTGCTCCCTGGTGAGGGCATCTTCCTATTCCCGGAGGGCTTCCCCACTGCGGGCAGTAGCTGTCAGAGCTGCTGCTCCCCACCACGGCCCATAGCAGGCCCCTGGAGAGGGCTCAGCCTGGTCCAAGCGGGCCCTCAGGAGGGTCCTACTACTTAACTCTCCTGAGCCTCAATTTCCCCATCTACCTCACAAACTGTATTACCCCAGCCGAAATCACAGCAGTAGGGTGTGTGTGTGTGTGTGTGTGTGTGTGTGTGTGTGTGATATGTGGTATATATGAGTTGTGGTTCTGTGTATAGTGTGATATGTTTGTATATGCATGATATATGTGCTATGTACATTTCTATGTGGTGTTTGTGGTATGTGTGTACTTTTTGTATATATGCTCTCTGCATGCAGTGTGTATGATGTGTATTTGTATATGTGGTGTGTATATGTATGAAGTGTGAGGTGTGTGTATGTTGTGTATATAATATGTGTGTGGTATGGTGTGTGTGTATATGTGGTGTTGTGTGTGTGACTTGTGTGTGACGGTGTGCATGAATGGGGTGTGCATAGTGTTCTGCATGTGTGTGTGGCATGTGTGTATGTATGGTGTGTGAGTGTATGGTATTACGTGTATATTGTGTGGTATGTGTATATAGTGATGTGTTTATGTATGTATGATGTTAATGGTATGTGTGGTGTGTGTGTATGAGGTGTGTGATAGTGTGTGTGACATAGTGTTGTGTGATGTGTGTACATTGTATTGTGTGTACGTGTGTGATGTGTTTACACGGTGTATTTCTATGCATGGTGTGTATATATGGTGCGTGTGTGTAGTGTTGTGTGTATGGTGTATGTGTCATGCATAGTGCTCTGCAGGTCTAGTGTCGTGTGTGTGTGTGTGTGTGTGTGTGTGTGTGTGTGGCGTGTGGCTTACTCTCTTAAGAGCATGCAAAGCCCCACCTCAGGAAGCCAGGGCTGAGCTCTCCAGAGCAGCCAGAACTCCGCCCCAGGCAGTGGGGGGCCTGTGCTGGGGGACTGGCCCCCGCCAGCTGGGACCCCCAGAGCTTATGTAGCTCACAGCTTGTGGGGTTTCTGTGTGTAGTCGGCTGCCTCTGAGGTAGGGTGGTTGGCAGAGACCGCCACACAAGGGAACAGCTTCCAAGACAGCAGGAGCAGTGCAAGCGTGAGACAAGCTGCCCTCTGACCCTACGTTGCATGCCTAGGGCCACCTGCCCTAAGGCGGGTATGGCACCAGCCCCTTAATCCTCGCCAGGTTGGATGCCAGCTCAATCAGTGGACTGATTTAGTAACCACACACACTGAAGGTTCAGTCGCTTCTGCAAAAGCCCTTGACTGTGAGGCTTTGGGGGCGTCTAGACACAAACCGTACTGTGCCCCTTCCCAGGGCTAAGCCTGCAATGGCAGGGGGACTGGTTGGTGCTGTCCGGGGGCCTGGGGGTTGTTGTGCGGCTGGACAGGTCCACTTCGGTCTGGGTCTCCATGGACCATGAGCTCCAGGGACAGACGCAGGGCCTCTGTGGCCTCTATAATGGCCAGCTGGAGGGTAGGTGGGCTGTGGCCTGGGGGTGGCAGCGGGAGGGAGCAGAGGCAGGACCCGGATGCAGCCCTCTGCTTCATATCCCCTCAGATGACTTCCAGGAGCCAGGAGGGGGGCAGGCTGCGCTGGCCGCCACCTTTGGGAATTCCTGGCGGCTCCCCGGCTCCGAGGTGAGACTGCCATCCAAGGCCCCACTTGCCTGTCTTTGGCTCCCCCAGCCTGCATTTCTGGCCTGGAGAGCAGGGTGGGCAGACCCCATATCCCACAGGAAGTTATGTGATGTTTCAGTGAACTGACCATCCGGGGACACCCCCACTGAGCCGGGCACTACTGGCTCTGGTCCATTACCTCCTCTAACCTCTGCCTGTGGCCGATGTAGCAACTCCCCTGTCTCCACCAGCCCTGTCACTTCACTGCCTTGCACAGCCAAGATGGAGCTGGTGGGTTTGACAATGTGGACAGTGGTGACAAATTTTCATCTTCACTCATCCCTGGCTCCATTTGTCCCCAGCCTGGGTGTCCAGATGCAGTGGAGGCAGCCCAGGGCTGTGAGAGCCCCACAGAGGGTGCAGAGGCCAGCGTGGAGGCTGGCCAGCTGCGGGCTGAGGCCCAGGATGTGTGCCACCAGCTGCTGGAGGGTCCATTCAGCCAATGTCATGTCCAGGTATGGGTGGCATGGAGGTGGTGACCCTCTCTAGAGGGAAGGAACCTCACATGGGTGGAGTGGAAGTCAGAGTGGTGCCAACTAGGCGACCTGGAGCTGCCACTAGATGGCACTGGCCACTGGCCAGCCCTTCCCTGTCCTGGACTTTGTCTCTAGGGACAAGCTGGCTGTCATGTGTGATCTCTGAGGCTCTTTCCAGCACTCATCTGTTTGATTTTAAGCCAGGGCGGAATGAAAACCATAGGTGGGAGATGCCCACAAGAAGGCTTTGCCACCTTTTCACTTCAGGTTCTCCCGGAGGAGTACCACAAGGCCTGCCTCTTCGCCTACTGTGCAGCACCTGTGGTGGGCAGTGACCAAGCAGGCCGGAGGGAGGCTGTGTGTGCCACCTTCAGCAACTATGCCCAGGCCTGTGCCAGGTGGCATATCCACGTGCACTGGAGGAAGCCTGGCTTCTGTGGTATGGCCCTGCCTGCCCGCCTTGTGGGACGACCAAGGGCTCTGGAGCAACTCCTATTTCCTGAGGGCACCTTCACCCCCTGTGGCCCTTGGGCTGTATCCCATGGTCTCCAGCTCTGCAGGGTCCACTCCTGTACCCACAGAGCGCCTGTGCCCGGGAGGCCAGCTCTACTCCGACTGCATCTCGTCCTGCACTGCAAGCTGCTCCATGGTTGGCCAGGGTGAGGAGGGGCCCTGTGGGGAAGAGTGTGTCAGCGGCTGTGAATGCCCGCCTGGGCTCTTCTGGGATGGCACCCACTGTGTGCCTGCTGCCCACTGCCCCTGCTACCACCGGCGCAAGCGCTACGCCCCAGGCGACACTGTGCACCAGCAGTGCAACCTATGGTGGGTCCTCAAGCCTTGCTGGGGGTGGCAGCCTTGTGGTCCCCTTGGGTCCCTCCCTTTATTCTGGTGGGATCAAAGCCTGCCTGATCCCAGTGCCAGCTTCAGGGTCTCCCAGAGGACCTGTGACCTCTCCTGACATGATTGACAGCCCTTAACCTCTTTTCTTTCTGGTAGAGGTGGGGGTGGAGGTGCTAGGAAAGAAAGGGACTAGCTCAGCCTCTCTATCTGGGTTGGGGGAGATGCCACAGTGCCCTGTCTCGCCCCATGTGTCCACAGTGTGTGTCAGGATGGCCGCTGGCATTGTGCCCAGGCCTCATGCCCTGCTGAATGTGCAGTAGAAGGTGACGGGCATTACCTCACCTTTGATGGGCGGAGCTTCTCCTTCCAAGGTGGTCCAGGCTGCCACTACATCCTGGTGCAAGTGAGCAGGGGAAAAACTCCATGAAAGGGGTCTCAACAGGTTAGGGCCCTCCTGGGAGAGGCGACAGTAAGAAATGAACCAAATAAGTAAGTGCAATGCACAGCCCCAAAGCAAAAGCCCAGGGAGGGTGATACAGTGTCTCCCACCCCTGCCCAGGCAGCAAAATAGCCCTCTTCCATAGAGGGGCTGGGCTGGGTTTGCCACAGGCCACTTCACATGTCACCTCCAGGGGACAAGGGGTCCATCCTCCCACCAGCCATCCCCAGAAGGCTGGGTCATACATGTAGAGATGAACATACATGTCCATAGGTAGAAAGGGGAATTACCCGACCCTACGCACACATGCACATACAGGCACACAGTCATGTGATCACATATTCCTCCCCATGCACGACACCTGCACACACATGTACACACAGCCCTGCGGTGAGGGTCAAGCCCTTGCCTCAGGTCTGGCTGGATGGGAAGTGCTCAGCACTGTGTGGGTGGCTGCTGCCTGCAGCGAGGTGGGCAAGGTGGGTGAGGTGGGGAGGTCAGGAGAGGCCAGCAGAGGCCTCCCCAGGGAGCCCGAGTACCTGCTATCTGCCTAGGACCACGGCCAGAAGCCGCTGCTGATGGTGCTGGAGCATGGGGCCTGCGACTCTGGGAGCTGCCTGCATGCGCTGTCTGTCTCCCTAGAGGACACCCACATCCAGCTCAGACACTCAGGTAGCCTCAGCTCTGTCTCCTGCAGGTGCCCGCCACGCTCACTGTCCCTTCCCATCACCCTTTACACTCAGGCACCCTCCAGCACCTGTTCTCCACACTGCCTGGCACAATGCCTGCAGCCAAATTCATGGCCTCAGTCTCCCCACTCTCCCATCTCTGAGTGAGACACACGGTCCCAAGAACATTTTCCAGGCCATCTTTCACTCTGTCTTTGGGGACAGCACAAGTCATGCAGTTAAGAGGGCCCAAGAGGCCTTGGGCATGGCTAGCCCAGGCAGGCCTGTCTCAGCCATGGTCCCCCCACCTCCCCAACCCAGTTGAGTCCTTGGGCCACACAGAGATGGTGTCTCCACTGGGCTCTGCGGATCCCAGTCTGACCCAGAGCCTCCTGCCTCCCACCCAAGCCCTTGCGTTTTGCAGCCCCACCCTCCCACCTGCTGCCCACCCCATGCCAGGCCCCTGTTCCAGGAGCTGTGCTGGTGGATGGGCAAGATGTGGGCTTGCCCTGGACTGGCGCTGCAGGCCTCAGTGTCTCCCAAGCCTCTTCTACCTTCCTGCTGCTGCGTTGGCCTGGGGCCCGGGTCCTCTGGGGCGTGGCTGACCCTGCAGCTTACATCATGTTGGACCCCCGCTATGCCCACCAGGTGTGCCAGGAGAGGGTGAAGGGCTGGGTGAGGCTGGGACCCGGTGGGCCTTGACCATCCCAGGTGTTCTCTGTGGCTCAGGTGCAAGGTCTATGTGGCACCTTCACCCGGAACCAGCAGGATGACTTCCTGACGCCAGCTGGGGACGTGGAGACCAGCATTGCTGCCTTTGCTAGCAAGTTCCAGGTGGCAGGTGGAAGCAGGTGCCCTCCCGAGGACAGCCCTCTGCTCTCCCCCTGCAGCACCCACTCCCAGCGCCTCACCTTCGCGGAGGCGGCCTGTGCCATCCTGCACGGCCCAGCCTTCCAGGTAGCTGGGGTGGCCTTTCCCACACCATACAGCTAAGGGGCCAGATGAAGGGGAAGACTCCAGGGCACAGGAAGGCAGTGATGGGGACTGAGAGGATTGAGGGGAAGTCACTGGAGGAAGACCTGGCCCATTTCCTCTCTCCCAAAGGCATGCCACAGGCTGGTGGACAGGGAGCCCTTCCAGCTGCGCTGTTTGGCAGCTGTGTGTGGCTGTGCCTCAGGCAGGGACTGCCTGTGCCCAGTGCTCTCTGCCTATGCGCGCCGCTGTGCCCAGGAGGATGTCCTGCTGCTCTGGAGGAACCAGACTCTCTGCCGTGAGTCCCTCAGCCCAGCCTTCTCTCCCCACCAGCCACCTCTCCCCACCAGCCATTCCCCCTTTCCCCTTCTAGGAGGAGTCTGAGGGGACTGGCTCTGACCTTGGTGGATTTTAGGACTTTTCTTATGGAAGTACCAGAGGTATAGGGCCCAAGGGGGTAGCCATATCTCTGATTTACATTTGTCCCCTTGTCTAGCTGTCCCATGTCCCGGTGGCCAGGAGTACCAGGAGTGTGCCCCAGCATGTGGCCACCACTGTGGGGAGCCAGAGGACTGCAACAAGCTGGGCAGCTGTGTGGCTGGTTGTAACTGCCCCCCAGGGTTGCTGTGGGACCCTGAGGGCCAGTGCGTGCCCCCCAGCTTGTGCCTCTGCCAGCTCGGAGACCATCGTTACACCCCTGGCAGTGTCACCCAGAAGGGCTGCAACCACTGGTGAGGGTGGCTATTTTGGGGCCACGGGGAAGAATGTGGGGTAAGAAGGGGTCTTACAAGAGAATGAGTTGGGCTGTGCTGCTGCAGGGTGACAGCGACAGGTTGGGGAGCAGATCCTTCCCCTCCGTGGGGGGCACTTTGGGGCCCAAGAAGCATGTACTCCAACAACTTAATGGAGCTGGAGGTGGGAAGGTTGTTCCCAATTTGCAGTTGAGAAGCCTGGTGCTCAGATAGGCTGGCTGGCTTGTTGCTGAGGGATAAAGCCAAGAAGACCAAACCTGAAGAGGCAGGGCCAGGACTCAGAGCTTGGCGGTTGAGTGGGGCTCCGCTGAGATCCCTCGCCTCCCTTGGGGGGCTATGGGGAATTCAATACCTCCATCCTTCTCCAGGCCCCTGAATGGTCCCACTGGGGCTGGAGTGACTGTCCTGTCCCAGGCCTGGGGGTTGCTGGCGCAGGCTGACGCCCTGCACTGCTGGCTTGGGCCTTGGGGGTGATGCGTAGGGGTGAGCTTCCGGGCTCCTCAGCCACTTGCCAGGGCAGAGCGGGGCTCAGAGCAGAGGCCTCTGGGCCTGGCTCTTACTCCCTCCATCGTTGGCAGTGTCTGCCAGGAGAGGGGCCTCTGGAACTGCACAGCTCACCACTGTCCCCCGCAGCGGGCCTTCTGTCCCCAGGAGCTTATCTATGCCCCCAATGCCTGCCTCCTCACCTGTGACAGCCCTAATGCCAGCCATTCCTGTCCTTCGGGCAGCACTGATGGCTGTGTCTGTCCCCCGGGCACCGTGCTGCTGGTGAGCCTATGGAGGGCTGTGTGGGGCAGCCCTCTTTACTCCAGGGCACTGCCCTGCTCCCCACTGCCTCAAACAGCATCTCCTCTGCCCAGGACGAACACTGTGTGCCTCCTGACCTCTGTCCCTGCCATCACAGTGGGCAGTGGTACCCGCCTAATGCCACCATCCAGGAGGACTGCAACACTTGGTATGCCCGCTCCTGTGACCTGTAACCTGACCTGTGATCACCTGGCTCCCTAAAGGCCATGCTGCCCTCTGCTAGAAAGGGTTGGGTGGCTGGAGGGGACCGACATCCAGATGGCCTGGGTCCCCCATGCTGAGGGCCTAGGCACAGTTGCTGAACCTAGATTGGCTGTGCCCCCCCCCATGTGAGCTCCCAAGTGCCTGTCCTCAGTGACTCTGTCCCTGTCCCTTGCTCACAGTGTGTGTCAGGGCCGGCAATGGCACTGCACAGGCCAGCAGTGCAGTGGGCGGTGCCAGGCATCAGGCGCCCCCCACTATGTGACATTCGATGGGCTGTCCCTCACCTTCCCCGGGGCCTGTGAGTACCTGCTGGTGCGAGAGGCTGGCGGCCGCTTCAGCATCTCTGCTCGGAACCTGCCCTGTGGGGCCAGCGGCCTCACCTGCACCAAGGCCCTGGCCGTGCATCTGGAGAGCACCGTTGTGCACATGCTCAGAGGTGGCTGGTGACAGGCTGAGGGTGGGAGGCACCACAGGGCAGAGTGCTGGGGAGCAGGCCTTCCTTAGTGTGGTAGGGCTCGTGGCTCTCCTATTGGGAAATTATAATGCTTAAAGGCTCCAGAAGTCAAGGCCCAGAAAATCTGATGGCCTGCCCAAGACCTCAGAAGTCGAGAAGCAAAGAGTCTGGGGGAGGGGCTAGGAGGAACTCGCTGGACCCAGGAGGCCTCTCCCTCAAGTGCCTCTCTTCCTCCTCAGGCAGGGCAGTGACAGTGAATGGGGTGGCCGTAAGGCCCCCCAAGGTCTACACTGGCCCTGGCTTGAGCCTTCGCCATGCTGGACTCTTCCTGCTGCTGACAACGCGTCTGGGCCTCAGCTTGCTCTGGGATGGAGGTCAGGCCTGGCCCACAATGACCTTTAGCACCTTGGGGCTGGACCCCAACCCCTCCCTGCCAGGGCCCACCTAGTTCTGAGGTCAGGGCTGGGACCCCAACACGCCCACAGGGGCGATTTCCAGCATGACAAACCACATCAGGACCCCTGCCCTCCTACCCTCCTGGGCACCCCCATCCCAGGGCACCCCCATCCCAGGGCTGCCTCTGCCTCCCAGCCCACCTAAGTGGTCGGAGTTTCCAAACTGTTCCTACAATTCTGTTCTATGCCTCTGCATCCAAGAATCAAGTAGAAAATACCAAGTTCTAGGAAGAAGAAATGCAAATAGATCTCCTAACACTCCCGAACAGAAGCAGTCGGTGTGTTAGAAAGGTTAACTGTTGGTGAGAAACAGAGAAATCGAAATGCCCCACTCTGGCCTGGTGAGGGCTCTGGTGCCTCCTCGGGCCTCGGGCTGTGCTGGAGCCGGGATTCCTGCCTGGATAGGATTGAAGGAGGCGTTCCCTGTCCTCCAAGTGTCTATCTCTCCATTTATCACCCATCAGTCCCCCCCAAAAATGAGGGAATCTGGACCCCTGGTGGGCAGTGTTACCCACCCCAGGTTTTCTCCCCAGACGGGTCTGCTGAGGACCAGGGGGTTCACTTGGTACCGTGCCCCTGCTAGGTACCCGCGTACTGGTACAGCTGTCCCCCCACTTCCGCGGTCGTGTGGCCGGCCTGTGTGGAGACTTTGATGGTGACGCCAGCAATGACCTGAGGAGCCGCCAAGGAGTCCTGGAGCCCACAGCTGAGCTGGCAGCCCACTCCTGGCGCCTCAACCCCCTGTGCCCCGAGCCAGGAGATCTGCTACACCCCTGCACCGTGAGCATGGGCAGTACCGAGAACCAGGAGGAGGGGCAGCTCTAGGGCCTCGTGGGTGGCCCTGGGGCTGCAGACAGCACCCTGTGTGGCAGGTGAATGCCCACCGGGCAGCGTGGGCCCGGACCCGCTGCGGGGTGATGCTGCGGCCACTGTTTGCCCGATGCCATGCAGAGGTGCCCCCGCAGCAGCACTACGAGTGGTGTGTGTACGACGCCTGCGGGTAAGAGCACTGGCTGTGGGGCATGTGGGGTGCTAAGGAGGGGAAGGGCCACTGGACTGACGGCTCCCTCCCACAGCTGTGATTCAGGGGGTGACTGCGAGTGCCTATGCTCGGCCATCGCCACCTATGCTGACGAGTGTGCCAGGCGTGGGCATCACGTGCGCTGGCGCAGCCAGGAGCTCTGCCGTGAGTGTGCCCTGCCCCTGGCCCTGCCACCACTCTGCCCCTTGAAAAGTGCCTTTAACGTATCAATACTTTATGAAAAATACCTGTTCCATGTTATGCCTAGGATGTTTGATATTCAGACTGAAATTGAGCTCAACAGCCTAGGTTATATGGTAATAACAATAAGCTTCTCTTCTGGAGGGTTAACAATCTAAGTTTGCAGACCAAAATTAGAGAAAAAGGAGGGCCACAAGGAAAGCCAGCATTTTGGCCCTAGCCTTGCAAGGTCAATTCAGACTCAGGATACATGAGAACCTGTACTGTAACATCCTGTAACTCAGTAGTGTTCCAAATTTTCTGACCAAGGAGATTATGGGGCCAGAGAGGAAAGTGATCGATGATGTAGAGTGTGCCTGAGGAGAGTCACATGGAGAGAAAACATTCTCTCAGGCTTTCACAGAGAGCACATTGGCCAAGCAATGGCCATGACTCATCCACATGGCTGACACTGACAAAGGATGTACAATGTGAAGTACAGGGTCACAGGATAAATCCTGAGGGGATTTCACTGACCTTCTCAGACCCAAAAGCTACAACTCTTGTTGCATAGCTCCTGCTTTACCTTGGTCTTAACCATCCAGCAGGAAAGTATAAAAGCGAAGTATAAGAAGTAAAGCCATGCTGTTATGTTGAGCTGTAGGGGACTCAGGTCAATAGTTTCTGATATTGCCAGTCAAGCGGAAGACCCAATACTATTATGGGCTACTGGACTATTTTGGAATATTTTGCTGAGTTCACACACCTATAATATTTAAATGACGGAACTAAACAAGAAAAGGGGATACAGATGAATGACCATTTTGTATCTGTGTATTTGAAATGGTTAGGGTAGATTTATAGCTGCATTCTCTTAGCTCAAGAAATAGAGGGATTTGTTCTAATAGTGTTTGTAAACAGGATATCATGTCTGCATCTTGTCCAACAAATAACCACTAGGAAGGCAGCCTGCAATGTGTTAATTATTGGAACTGTCCTACCAATTTGATTTGAAACTGTCTCATTGCTACTTATTTCTCAATAAAATTATGGGGGGGGGGAAGTGCCTTGTGGCCCCTCTACTTAAAAGTACCCAAAGTCAAATGCATGCAGGGTGCTTTGTGCCTGCTAGGTGTTTTTCTAGATGAACCAAACATGCAAGAACAGCTGCCCTGTAGGGCCGATGTGTCCCAACTGAGCAAGAGTTCACGCCACACACCTGTGTCACCTTCCACCTGGTCACCTTGCTTCCCGGCACTCTTGTCCTTCAGTGAATCCAGCCTCTCTCCTCTCTACCCAGCCCTGCAGTGTGAAGGGGGACAGGTGTATGAGGCCTGTGGTCCCGTGTGTCCCCCCACCTGCCATGACCACCATCCTGAGCCTGGATGGCACTGCCAGGCTGTCGCCTGTGTGGAGGGCTGCTTCTGCCCTGTGGGGACTCTGCTGCATGGTATGTGGTCCGAATGGCAGAGGCCACAGGGCTGCAGGACTGGGAGAGGGCCAGGGCCACTGCAGTGGGGCTGGGCCCTGAGTCTTGTGCTCTGTGGTCTCAGGAGGAACCTGTGTGGAGCCAGCTGCCTGTCCCTGTGAGTGGGATGGCAGCTTCTTCCCACCAGGGACAGTGCTGCAAAAGGACTGTGGGAACTGGTGAGTGAAGCCCCCGGTAGAGCTGAGCCCCAGCAGCCACGTCCTGCTGCGACTGATCCCAGGACACTGTGCTCAGCACGTGCCAGGACAGTCAGTGGCACTGCGGAGCTGATGGAGCCCCCTGTGAGGAGCTGGTGCCTCGCTGTGCAGAAGGAGAGGCTCCATGCCAGGGCAGTGGGCACTGTGTGCCACATGAGTGGCTTTGTGACAACCAGGACGACTGTGGCGATGGCTCAGATGAGGAGGGTGAGTGTCTTTGCCTGTGTGTGCCAGTGACGGCAGCTGTGTCCCCGGCGTGGCTTCCTGAGCTGCTGTTTCCTTTAGCAAGAGCGATGACCTGAGGGGGTGAGGGGCAGGAAGGGTGCTCTCTGACCCCAGCATCTGTGCCAGGCTGTGCCACCCCAGGTTGTGGGCAGGGCCAGATGCCTTGCCACTCCGGCCGCTGTGTGCCCCTGGCCCTGCTCTGTAACGGGCAGGATGACTGTGGAGATGGCAGTGATGAACAGGGCTGCCCATGCCCCTCTGATTCACTGGCCTGTGCTGATGGGCGCTGCCTGCCCCTGGCCCTGCTGTGTGATGGGCATCCCGACTGTCTGGATGCCGCCGATGAGGAGTCCTGTCTGGGTGAGTTGTCTCTGCTCTGGACCTCAGCCCCCAGCCCCTGCCCCTTCCCCCAGGCCCAGCTTCTGGGCAGCCCTAACCTCCCTCATGCCGCTCCATGGCCAGGATGCACAGGTGAAGCTGCTATGAGTGAGTGCGTGGGTGCAAGCACCCCAGGCAGTGAGAAGGGTCCTGGGGAGGGTCCTGGGACCAGCTCCTCTTATCCAGCTGCAGGGCAGGTGACCTGCGTCCCTGGGGAGTTGTCCTGCACCGATGGCACCTGTGTGGGGGCCTTGCAACTATGTGACGGAGTCTGGGACTGCCCAGATGGAGTGGACGAGGGGTCTGGACACTGCCCCACTCCCTCTCTGTCCGCGTCCCCTTCCGGCACCACGCCAGGCTCCCTGGAAGGTGCATCAAGTCCCTTGGGTAGTGCCAGCCCTGGTAAGTCTCCCAGAGGAGATGGGTGCAAAAACTGGGAGTCTGACATCCCAAGGAGGGGATAGGAGGGCATCTCAGAGGCCCGAATTGGGCAGAGCCCTGGGGCTGGAGACTAGAATGAATAAAGTAGGAATTTCAGTACTCTGAGAGGCTGAGGCAGGAGGCATGCAGGAAGGGAGGAAGGAAGGGAGAGAAACAGGGTACAGGTGTTTGAGAGGCACTGAGGTCCCAGCCTTATTTCCTGGCATTCAAGGGTTCCCCTTGAACTCAGGAGGATCTAATGCCGCAGGGGAAAGCAAGACGCATGGGTCCCTGGGAAGGAATGAAAGGAGGTGGACGCCTCAGGCAAGTCTCAAGGCCGAGCTGGAAGAAAGCCTTGTGGCTCAGGTCTACCTCCCAACCCCACTTCGCAGCCCCCTGCAGCCCCTCGGAGTTCGCGTGCGGCAGCGGCGAGTGCGCCCCCCGTGGCTGGCGCTGCGACCAGGAGGAGGACTGCTCGGATGGCAGCGACGAGCTGGGCTGTGCCGGGCCCTGCGCGCCGCCCCTCCTGCCCTGCGCCCGCAGCAGCGCGCACTGCCTGACCCCGCGGCAGCTGTGCGACGGGGAGCCGCAGTGCCCGGATGGCTGGGACGAGGGTCCCGAGGCTTGCGGTGAGAGTCGCCCCCGCGACTCCCCACCTCTGTCTCCTGCTGGGCACACGTGGGAGCGCAGCTAGATAAGGGACAGGTCTGGAACAACAGGGTCTGAAAGACTTCTGTGTTCGTGAAACTTTGACGTTTTGCGTTCTTGCTGCCCTGGGGTAGATAGAAGACCTGGGGACATAGGCGCACAGGACCATCTTCCACCCACAGGCTCCATGCAGCTGTCCCCAGGTCCCCACCTCTTGCCCTGTGGCCTCGCTCCTGGCTGTGCCTGGACCCCAGAGGCTCTACAATGGGCTCCCTGACTGACCCCGGGGCAAGGATGAGCTAGGGTGTAGTATGGACCCCTCCTTCTCCTGGGGCCCAGCCAGGGGTGCACAGGGGATAGCCCCAGTTTTCTGCTGATTTGTTTTCTCTTTTGCCTGGGGGTGTTCTTCCAGCCCCAGGAGGCCTCAACGGAACAAGTGTCCCCTGCCCAGAATACTCATGCCCTAATGGCGTCTGCATTGACTTCCAAAAGGTGAGGGTGGGGACAGGGGCAGAGGGGGCAGAGCCAATGTGTCCCCAAGCCCAGCCCTAGTCCTGAGCCTCTTACCTCCCCAGGTGTGTGATGGACAGTCTGACTGCCAAGTGGCTCTGGGGGAGGCAGGGCCCTCCCCCGAGGAGCAGGCTTGTGGAGCCTGGGGACCCTGGAACCCGTGGGAGCCGTGCAGCCAGACCTGTGGATCTGGGGTGCGCAGCCGGAGTCGTCGTTGCTCCCCGCCTGGGCTCCCGGTGCTGCAGCGCTGCCTGGGCCCTGAGCAGCAGTCTCAGGCCTGCTTTGCTGAGGCCTGCCCAGGTGACGGTTGGGGACTCCAGGGAGGGCCAGGGGCACAGGGAACCAGAGCAACCACCGGGCACATCCCTCCCTCCTCCCCACTTGGTCCCTCCTTTGCAGTGGATGGCAAATGGGGCTCCTGGTCTCCCTGGTCTCCATGCTCTGAGCCATGTGGGGGCACCATGATGCGGCAACGGCAGTGCCACCCTCCCCAGAATGGGGGCCGGGCCTGTATCCTGCTGCTGGGGGACCCTCACAGCATCCGTGAGACCAGTGAGTGATGGGAAGAGAATCCGGGTGGTCGTTGGAGGTTCCACGGGGCACAGCCACCCCGACCTCCATTTCGGTTCCACCCTTCCCAGAGCCTTGCCCTCCGGATGGCTGCCCCAATGCCACCTGCTCTGGGGAGCTGGTGTTTTGGCCCTGTGCCCCCTGCCCTCTGACCTGTGGTGATGTCTCCAGCCAGGCCACGTGCCCACCCGAGCAGCCCTGTAGCAGCCCAGGTGAGGGGACTCTGGGCCCAAGGTCTCTGGCAACCAAGCCGGTATACCTCGCTTACCCTGGGCTTTTCTCAGGCTGCTGGTGCCCTGCAGGGCAGGTGCTGGGCAGCGAAGGGCGGTGTGTGTGGCCCCGGCAATGCCCCTGCCTGGTGGATGGCACTCACTACTGGCCTGGGCAGCGGATCAAGGCTGACTGTCAGCTCTGCGTCTGCCAGGAGGGGCGGCCTCGGCGCTGCCGGCCACACCCAGACTGTGCGGGTAAGTATCTCTTGCCTGACCCTTCCCTGGGGTCCCAACGGGGGACCCCCTCTCATCCTGGCCTTGACTTCCTCCCAGTGAACTGTGGCTGGTCCTCATGGTCCCCCTGGGCAGACTGCCTGGGCCCCTGTGGGACGCAGAGCATCCAGTGGTCCTTCCGGAGCCCCAACAACCCCCGCCAGTCAGGCCGGGGTCGCCAGTGCCTTGGCATCCACCGCAAGGCCCGCAGGTAGCAGCTGGAATCTGCCCTCACCTTCACCTCCCTCCTCAGAGGGCACTTCCTGCGCACCCTTCCCAGCATGGACACCGCCCATCTGCCCCAGGTCCCAAGCTTCTTGAACCCCAGCACTCCTTGGGGCCCAGACTTCTCCTGCTTCAGCTTGATGGCTCATGTGTCCCATCAGGGGCAGACTTCTGGAGGGGGGTCACCCTAGGCAAGCCTCTCTCCAGCTGGGCTGCCACTCTGTCACCAGGTGCCAGGTGAAGTCATGCCAGGGCTGTGAGCAGCAGGGCCATGTGTGGCACGTGGGGCAGCGCTGGCGCAGGGGCCCTTGCGAGGTGTGCCAGTGCCTGGATCCTAGCACCGTGCACTGTTCCCCCTTCTGCCCACTGGGCAGCTGCCCCCAGGTGAGGTGCCCAGGAGCCTGGGTGGGCAGGGTCTGGGAGGAGAGTGGTCAGAGGGGCCAGGTCTTGGGAGACTGAAGGAGGGGAGTCAGAAGTGGGAGGTGGCCTGACTTTTTTGTCCCGCAGGGCTGGGTTCTGGTGGAAGGAGCGGGCGAATCATGTTGCCACTGTGCTCTGCCTGGTGAGTGGGTCTGTGGGGGGCTGAGGAGTTCAAGGGGAGGAAGAGGACCCAGCAGGAACGGAGGAAGCTGGGGTGGTCCATCTTCCTTATCCTGGAAGTGAACCCACAGATTGGTGAGGTTAGGAGCGGGCCAGCCAGCCCACACAGCTGTACAGGTTGTTCACTGCACAGTGGAACTGAAGACTGGGAGAAGGACTCCAGCCCCGAGGGCTGCTTCCACCCAGAGCCAGCTAGTGCCCGGAGAGGCTAGGAGCTGCACCTGCGCCGTGCTGGCCCTAAGTGGCTTTGGCTGGCAGTTTTATCCTGTGTCTCTAAATGTGCAGTGGGTGTGAAGACCCCTCATGCACACTGAGGGAAAGAGGCACCCTTCCCAGCTGGGGGCTTATTTCTGGGGTGCCACTAGAAAGAAAGTGCTCAGCCAGTACTGCTGTGAGCCTCCCTGGGTCTCCCCACACAGGAGAGAACCACACGGTACCTCCCATGGACACTCCAGCTCCGGCTCCAGCCCCCAGCCCCCAGACTGGACCCGCTCTGGCCACCTACGTCCTGCCCCCACTGGGAGGTGAGCTCATGTGCTGCTGTAGTGGCTGCTGAGGGGCACAGTGCACTGGGTAGCTGGGCCTGGGGCAGCGAGGAGAGGGCCAGGGAAGGCCTTCTGTGCCCCGCACACTGGAGGTCATCCTGAGGGTCAGAAGTGGTCCCAAGTCACCTGCTTGCCCCTGCATCCTAGGCCAAGGCCCCCTGTGTGGCCTTTTGTACCCCAGGTGCCCGAGGCTCACAGTGCCCCTGGTGCTGTTACAATGCCCTCCAGCCACCTCTCTCTCCTGCACCCAGATCCCTGCTATTCACCCCTGGGCCTGGCCCGACCACCCAAGGGCAGCCTGGGGACATTGCCCCTACAGTCAGAGGACCCCACCCACATGTCCCTCCTGGGAGCTGCCACTGAGATCCCCATCCTTGGAGAGGATGCTCATGCCAAGCAGCACCCCCAGCCTCCCTATATGCAGCTGGACCTGCTGTGGGCCCGGAACCTCACAGGTCAGTGAAGAAGAAAGACGGGGAAGGGGAGGGGCAGGAGTGCCTCCTTCAGTGCTGACTGTCCTTCCCTGGCCCCTCCAGGCCTTGTGGTACAGGGGACGCATTCGGCTGATACTCACCTCCCCAGCTTCTCCCTCCAGTTCAGCAGCGATGGTTTACACTGGCACAACTATAGTGACATCCTACCTGGTGCTCTGCCTGTGCCCAAGGTACCAAACACCCAAGGCCCCTTGGCTCAGTGGCCGAGTTGGCCCCTTTGTGGATCCTGGAGGGGCTTTTGGTCTCCCAGAGGCTCAGTCCTGCATATATGCTTGCAGAACACTCAGTAAGTAGCAGGGACTGACTGCAGAGTCGAGGGCCTGGGAACCACCAAGCAGATGTCAGGAAACACTGCAGTGGCAATAACTGGGCAGATGTCCCAGGGTTGGTGTCCTCCTAAGGGGAATGAGCCACATGGGGCAGAGGACTCAGCCCATGCAGCTGTCCATGACTTAAGGAGCACCTGCTCTGGGACAGCGGGGGGAATTTCAGCCATGGTCACAGTCCCGCTGCCTCAGGGAGCCAGATGCTATAGCTAGAAGGGTCCATGCCCTGAAAGTTGAAGGATTCGGATGAACGGGGGGGGGGGGGGGGGGAAGGAGAAGGAGAAGGAGAAGGAGAAGGAGAAAGAGGAAGAGGAAGAAGAGGAGGAGGGGGGGGGGGGGGGGGGGGAGGAAGGAGACCTGGTAGGGCCAGAGTCACAGTGGGTGCCTTGTACCACAGCCTTTCCCTGGGAGCTGGGCTGATGTGGCCCCCAAGGGATGGACATTTGGCCGGATGGTCCAGGCGAGGTACGTGAGGGTCTGGCCACATACTGGCCACCCCAGTGGAATCAGCAGTGGCATCTTCCAGTGGGCAGAGCTGCTGGGCTGCGGGACAGGTAAGGCTGGGCTGGGGGTGAAGGTGGGGCTGGAGTTGGGGACAGGGTGGCAGGAGCCCCGAGCAACACCCTTCCCTGCATGTAATGTCCTCAGTAGCACACCCATGCCCAGGGACCAGGCTCCGCTGTGCCAGTGGGGAGTGTGCCCCAAGTGGGGGTCCTTGTGACGGAGCTGCAGACTGCGAGGATGGCTCTGATGAGAAGGGCTGTGGGCCCCTGCCTGCAGGGACTGGCGGGTATGGAGGCCTCTGCCTGGACTCAGAGGGGACAGGCACACGGGAGGTATCCCCAGGGACTGTGAGCCTTACAAACCTGGGTCCCCAGGGCCCCGTTCTGCCAAGGATTCTGGGGTTTTGTGCCTTCATGTAGCATCTGTGGTTAAGTGTTCCGCATGGTGGCACCTGGCTCTGTCCTGCCCATGCCAGGGGCCCTGCATGTGTGCTTCACATGCCGCCCTGGTGACCCCAACACGCCAGTAAGGTGACAGCCTTTTTCAGAGCTCATCTTTGTCGAGTTTAGTGGGCTGTGTCCTTCCTGGACCTCCCACTCTGGCCCAGAGACCCCCTACCCCTTTCTGGATGGGGCCTTCTGGGCCAGGAGACCCCTGAAACCTCCTTGTGCCATTTCTGTTCCCAGGGTCCGTCCCACAGCCAGGACTCCAGCCCTGTCCCCTGCCCAGCCCTGGGAGGTGAGCTGGAAGCCCTGGGGTGGGCACAGGGGTGCAGGGAAGCTCCCGGGCCTCACTGCCTCATCAGGGCTGCTGCTGCCATGGCCCTCCTCTCTGATGTCCTACATTTGTTTCCTGGTGCTGCTCTGACAGGCCTTCTACCTGAGAGCCTTCCTGGGCACAAGCTGGTGCTAGTAGGGGGCAGGGACCCAAGGCACAGAGGCACAGAGAAGCCCAGGGCAGGGCACCAGCCTGGAGGAGGTTGGGAGACAAGAGCCTGTTGGGGCAGGTGCCTAGTGTCTACTCTCAGAGCCCAGAAGAGCTCAGCATCCGAATCCAAAGCCCTTGAGGGTGTGGGCCAGTGCCTTGGGGTGCACAGCCCAGCTCCCCAGCAGAGCAGCACTTACTTCTCATCCCACCTCCAAGGTTTCCGGAAGCCAGGGATGGGGGAGGGACCATGCAAGCCACACTCAGTATCTGGGTCGCAGTGGGTGACTGAGCCCTGTCCCTCTGCAGGGTCTGACGGAGACTGGATATTGGCATCCCAAGCAGAAGTCCCCTGCACCTTCTGGGGGTATGTGCGCAAGATCCCGCCCCCCCTCCAAATCTCTGTCCCTAGCAAACTCCCTGCCATGCCAGGCTCAAATCCTCCCATGGCCCTTGGACATTGCAGTGTCTTTGGCACCAGAAGCTCAGGGTACCCTCTCCAGGGTCTGCATCGCTCCCTCTCATGGCAAGGAGAGATGGCAGCCTCGGTTCACTTCCTCTTCTGCCGACAGAAGAGAGCCCAGGCAGTCCCATGGCAGCCTCTGCGTCTCCCCACCCCAGTTCTGGGGAAGCCATGCAGAATGTGGCCACCACGTCCACAAGCCACCTTGGAGCCTTGAGCCTGCAGCCAGGAATGGCAGCGGTGACTATGTTCCCCCTACGGCCACTGACGCCGGTGACTCCTGCTGGTAAGATCCTGAGACCTTCTGTGTGCACACCCATGAGCCCAGCTTCGCTGCCAGGGCACAGAGCCCCGGGAGGCCAGTCAAGGTCACACTGCTCATGGCCATTTGTGGTAGAATCAGGCCCAGGACACAAGTTTCCTGATCCAGTTCAGTCCATTTCCATCATCGCAAGAGGGGCAGAAAGCGGGCCACCCCACAAGCCAAGAGGCAGGAGGTTGCGGGCCACCTGGTCAGCTGGCTGCGGGAGGCCAATGTCTGTCTCCTCATCCACCCGTCCATCCACCCACCACAGGGCACAGCATCCCCCCCGGTCCCTTCCCACCTGCACAGTGCGGCCCTCGGCAGGTGCCCTGCGAGGTGCTGGGCTGTGTGGAGTGGGCACAGCTCTGCGACGGGAGTGAGGACTGCCTGGATGGCTCTGATGAGCGGCACTGCGGTGAGCAGAGGGCCTGTGATGGGTACTGGGGTGGCAAGACGGCTTCAAGTCTGGACCTCCCCGTACCCATTTCTAGCTCATGTGGGAAGGCTCTGGGAGAGTTAGGGGAGCAGGGAGTGGAGAGAAGCTGAAAGTGTGAAAACAATTAGCAATGTGAGTGTCTTCAGAGGTGGTAAAGAAGGGAAATGGAATAGACCTTGGGTCTCAGCCCGTTTTATAAAATCTATCGGACATCCATCCACACATCCATTCACTCATCCACCCATTCATCCATTTACCCACTGATCCATTCATTCATCCATCCATCCACCTACCCACCCACCCATCCACCCACCTACCATTTACCCATTGAGTTGTTCATTTCTCTACCCACCCACCCATCCTTCAACTATGCATCTATTCATCCACTCACTCACCCACTCAGCTATCCATTGATCCAGCCATTCAACTCTCCATCCATCCATCTAGCCATCCACCCGCCCACCCACTCATTCTCTATCTACCTGTCCGTAGATCCATCTATCCACCATTCACATACCCTCTCATCTACTATTTATCCATTGATCCATCCACTTAACCCTCCATCCATCCATCTATCCATCCACCCACCCACCTACCATTTGTCCATGCATGCGTTCATCTCTTCATCCAGCCACCCATCCATCCATCCAACCAAAGTAGATCATTAACGATCAAAGTTTTGTCTTACAATCAGGATAAGAGAAATCAAGCATTAATTCAGATACAGAAAGGGGCATCCCAGGGAGCACCCATTCAGGAAGAGGGTATCCAAAGGAGTGAACTCATTTTTTAGTGCTCTGTCCCCTCTCTGGACACTTGCAAGACCCTTTGACAAGTAGAGAGGCTGTGTGAGACCCGTGTACACCAAGGACCCTGTGTACATCCCACTCACAATAGTGGAAAGTGGCAGAGGCACCAGGAGGAAGGGGAGGCCAGGCCTCTGGCCAGCAAGCGCTGCCCCACTGCTGGCTTGAGGTCGCAAGGCTTCACCGTGTCACTCATGTGGCTCCCTTCTTCTCTCCCACGCCTCGCGGGCAGTGAGCACAGAGCCCTTCACGGTGCCCACCACAGTGCTTCCTGGGCTTCCGGGTTCAAGGGCTCTCTGCTCCCCGAGCCAGCTTCGCTGTGGCAGTGGGGAGTGTCTGTCAGCTGAGAGACGCTGCGACCTGCGTTCTGACTGCCAGGATGGCTCAGATGAGGACAACTGTGGTATGTGCTGCCCTGGCAGGGGACACACCTGAGGGACCTGTACCTCTATGACCCACCACTGAACCCCGCCCACCTGTCCCCTCAGTGGACTGCATGCTGGCACCCTGGTCTAGCTGGAGTGGCTGCAGCCACAGCTGTGGCCTGGGCTTCACCTTCCAGCGCCGGGAGCAGCTGCGGCCACCCCTGCCTGGGGGAAGCTGCCTGAAGGACCAGCTGCGCAGCCAGCCCTGCTTTGTGCAGGCCTGCCCAGGTAACCAGGCCCCAAGAGGGAATAGGGTCAGCCCTACCACCCCGGGCCTCTCCAGCCCCTCCTGCTTGCCCAAGTGAGCCCATTACCATGTGCTAGATCTGAGCTGAAAACTGGGAAGCCCGGTTATCCCACATCAGAAGGCATCCAGGATGGAGAAAGGCAATCTGGGAAGATGATTGGATGATGGATGGGTGGGTGGGTGGGAGGATTAATGGACAAATGATGGGTGCCTGGGTGGATGGATAAATGTAGCAATGGATGGTTGGGTGGATGAAGGATGGAGGGGTAGGTGAATGGATGGATGAATGATGGATGGATGAGTAGAAGACAGATAGGTGGATCAATGGATAAATCAATGGCTGAGAAGATGAGTGAACAGATGGGTGGATGGACAGGTGGATGAGTGAATGAAGGATGGAAGTGCCTCCATAGGTGGAGCTCAGTGAGGGTGGAGAGATGGACCGCAGCATCAGCTGGCTGTTCCACTTGTCCCTGGGTTCCTGGCCAAAAGCTTTTCAGCCTTTTTGTCTCATGAATCTGAGGTTGTGGTCCCCATTCACCTCTGAGCGTTCCAGAAGAGCTTCCCACAGGGGAGGGCATCTGCCTCCTGGCACCACTTGGCCACTTTCTGTCACCCACTTTGTGCACTCAGGGCTTGCACCAGCACTGCCGCTCGCAGGGTGCAGAGCTTTCACCCCAGGAGGCATCGACAGGTCCTCTCCCAGCTCCCCTCATCTGAGAGACAGAGGTGTCCTGGGCAGAGGAGGAAGCTCCAGGGCTCTGTGTTGCTCCACTGGCTGGGCAAGGGCTCCATCCCTGCTGCCCCCTCTCCTGGACAGCACCTGGCCCCCTGAAACCTCCCCACTGGACCTCTGCTCTTCCTTCCCCCTACAGTGGCTGGGGCATGGGCAGAGTGGGAGACCTGGGGCCCCTGCAGTGTGTCTTGTGGAGGTGGCCACCGGAGTCGCCGGAGGAGCTGTGTGGACCCCCCACCCAAGAATGGTGGTGCCCCCTGCCCCGGGGCTTCCCAAGAGAGGGTGCCCTGTGGCTTGCAGCCCTGTGCCGGTGACACAGGTAAGAGGGCACTGGGCACGGGAAGCTCTCTCAGCCTCCCTGAGCTCACCCCACAAGGTGCCCATCTCCCCCCAGACTGTGGGCCGGGCCATGTGCACGTGAATGCAGAGTTATGCCAGGAGGGACTGGTGCCCCGGTGTCCACCCTCCTGCCTGGACCCTGAGGCCAACAGGAGCTGCACTGGGCAGTGTGTAGAGGGTGAGGCAGACCTGAGCGTTGGGGGGAGGTGTGCCTGCCCAGGCCACCTGTCCTCAGACCCCAGCCTCCCTTCACCCGACCCCAGGGTGCCGCTGTGCTGCAGGGCTGCTTCTCCATGATTCGCGCTGCCTGCCCCTCTCGGAGTGCCCCTGCCTCGTGGGCGAAGAGCTGCAGCAGCCAGGGTCATCCTTCCTGATGGACAACTGCAGCCGCTGGTCATGATGCTGGGCAGGGTGGTGCAGGGCAGGGTGGCGCTGCGTGGGCAGGCCTTGCGCTGGGGTGCTGATAGCGTCACCTCCTCTCCCACCCCGCAGTGTGTGTGAGAAGGGCAAGCTGCAGTGCGAGCCGGGTGGCTGCCCCCAGCCCTGTGGCTGGTCAGCCTGGTCCTCCTGGGCCCCCTGCGACCGCTCCTGTGGCCCCGGAGTGAAGGCCAGGTTCAGGTGTGCAGGGTGAAGAGAGCGGGAGGTAGGGGGCTCGGAGCTTGGGGGCGAGGAGGACAGGGGACCCAGGGCTCCTGTCTCCCTAGGTCCCCTTCCAACCCTCCTGTGGCTTTCGGAGGTGCTCCCTGTGAGGGTGACAGCCAGCAGTTGCAGCCCTGCTACACGGAGTGTGGGACAGGTATGGTAGAAGGCCACCTGCCCCTCCCCATGCCTGGCCCTGAGGACACAGTGGGGGAGGACCCCTGGGTCCCCTGAGAGGGGAGTCAGCAAAGCCTTTGCAGGCCTTGACCTGGCCTTGCTGGGAAAGACAGGCTCTCATGAAGACACTGGTGGCCCAGGTATTCAAGCAGGGCGGGCTGACAAGAGCAAGCATTTGCAAGAGGTGGCACCCTGCACTGACTGGGCCACTGGGGCAGGAGAGGCCCCCTACCACTGTCTTAAGTGTGAGGAATGGGCTACGGCACAGGGGCCCCAGCTGGCTGAAGGGGACAGAAGCCACCCCAAACCTAGCATGGTACCTCGCATCCTCAAAAGCGTGCCCTAACCCCTGGCCTCTCTGGTCCTCTGCTGCAGGAGAGCCTGTAGAAGCTCTGGGCTGGACACCCTGGACACCCTGGTACCCCTGCTCCCAGAGCTGCCTTGTCCCTGGAGGGGGCCCCAGCTGGCAGCGGCGTTTCCGGCTCTGCCCCAGCCCCAGCCCCGAGGATGCCTGCCTTGGAGAGGCCATCCAGGAGGAGCCCTGCAGCCCCCCTCTGTGCCCAGGCATGACCCTGTCATCCCTGGTGTGGCTGGTCAATTTGTGGGGTGGGATCCTATGAGCCCCAGGGAGTGGAGGGAAGAGGACAGAGGTCACAGCAAACCTGGCTTTTGTCCTTAAGCTTCTCACGCCCTGGAACCAGCACATGATTGACTGTTGGGGAGGTGTGGCTGGGGGTGCCTGCACCCCCCACAGTCCGGACTTCTATGCTACTATATCCCCGTGACTGGGGCCCTGGCCTCTCCCTGCAGTGCCGAGCAGCTGGGGTCTGTGGGCTTCCTGGTCAGCCTGCTCAGTGTCCTGTGGTGGAGGTGTGCAGATCCGTGGGCGCAGCTGTGATGGCCCGGCTCCTGGGCACCCTGTGTGCCAGGGACCCCACAGTCAGACCAGGGACTGCAACACACAGCCCTGCACAGGTGCGAGGGGTGGCCTATCCCTGGCCTATCCTTCAGGGGGCCACACCGCTGGGTATGACACACACTAAGCCCCCTCACACATCTCTGACCTCGCATGTCAGGTCAGGTGGTACCTTCAGCCAGGCAGAGCTCCAGGTTTCTTCCCTCTGCCTCCTGCTGGGGACAGGGCTCCTGGATGCTGGCCCAGAAGGTGGCCTGCTCCAAGCAAGTCAGGATGCTGGGCAGGTCTGAGCACAAGCAGCGCAGGCCCTGGGAAGCTCACTCCCTCCCCCACTCTCCTCTGAACCCTCCTGGATCAGATACTAGCATCCTTCTCTTCTGTCTTGAACATCTGTATTAGCTGGGCAGGGTGACGCACACCTGTAATCCCAGAACTCACGAGGCTGAGGCAGGAGGATTGCTTCGAGTTCGTGGTCAGCCTGGGCTACGTAGTGAGTTCAAGGCCAGCCTGGAATAAGTCTCAAGACCCTATCTCAAAACAGAATGAGCCAGGGAGATAGCTCAGTAGAATAAGCACTTGCCTGGCAAGTGCAAGGGCCTGAGTTCAATCCCCAGTTCTGAAAAAAACCCAAAAAACAGAACAAAGCAAAACAACAAAACAAAACAAAGATGCAAAGCCTAGATTTCATTGGTGACATGCCAGGCACTGGGGCAAGCCAGGAGGGAGAGGAGGATAGGGAGGGCTATGTTGCCCTCCCCAGACCCTCTCGTGGCCTCCCTTCCCCTGCGCCTGCCCTGCCCAGACCTGCTCTGTTTTGCCCTGCAGCGCAGTGCCCCAGCGACATGGTGTTCCGCTCAGCAGAGCAGTGTCTCCAGGAGGGTGGTCCGTGCCCTCAACTGTGCCTGGCTCAAGACCCTGGGGTGGAGTGCACAGGCCTTTGTGCCCCTAGCTGTGCCTGCCCCCCTGGCCTCTTCCTGCACAACAGCAGCTGTCTGCCTCGCGCCCAGTGCCCATGCCAGCTGCACGGGCAGCTGTATGCACCTGGAGCGGTGGCACACCTGGATGCCTGCAACAACTGGTGCGCCCGAGGGGTGGGGGTGGGGCAGGGCTTCACTGCGGGGGCGATGTGTGATGGACTGGAGACTGGGGAGGGGCTGCTGGCCTCCCCTCCTGGCAGCTCCCTGTCTCTCTGTGGGGCGTGGCCTCCTCCCTAGGATGCACTCCATTTCTGCTCAGGGCAGAGGCACCCGGTGCTCAAGGCCCATCCAGGTTCTGCCAGCAGAGGGTGCTCTGAGCCCAGTTCCCTCACTCACTTTTTAATTTCCTTCTTTTTCTATTCCGTCCTGTACTCCAATTCTTCACTTTATTATTCCTCCACGAGCCCTTTTCTCCTTTTCTCTCCTCTTTGATC